TACTGCTACATGTGTCTGACGCGCCGCTACCACTACCGCTACCACCTCATGTGCCCGCCGCACCGCTAAACCAACAGTGCCACATGCGCCCGCCCGCGCCGCTACCACTACCGCTAATGCGCCTGCCGTGCTGCTACCACTACCGCTACACATGCGCCTGCCTGCGCCGCTACCGCTACTGCTAATGCGCCTGCCGCGCCACTACTGCTACATGTGCCTGCCGCGCCGCTACCGCTACCGCTACTTGCTACCGCTACTCGCCACCGCTACCACCTCATGTGCCTGCCGCACCGCTAAACCGACAGTGCCACATGTGCCTGCCTGCTACCACTACACAAGTGCTACCTAGCTACTGCTACACGACAAATGCTAACCGCCACTGCTACGCAAATGCTACCCTACTACCGCTACTGCTACACAAGTGCTACCTGCTACCGCTACCACTATGCAAATGCTACCCCGCTACCAGGTGTTTACCGCACTATACAACTTCCACAACCCGTCCTGGTCAATCTTAGTCCTGGTATGTATCAGCTCCCATACTGAAAATGTTACTGATCTACTAATGTCTTGTACTGACCAAAAACTGAACATTACTGACCCACTAACCCTACTGACATATCGGGATTGTTGTCCTAGTGTTTTCCCATACAGCCTCACCTGCTACTCACGCTAAATCCGCTATGTCTTCCACCACTGCTGCTATATACAACATTACAATATTTCAAGTCGAACCTTTTCACCACTTTTCGCCGCATTGTTTATAATGTACGCGGTGAGTAAAATTGCTGTCCAAATGTTCTCGTGGCACTGTTTCTTCCTCCTAGATTTTTGGGAATCCGCCTCAGAGAGCTGGATGTGTCGTCATTCTCCTAGTACTGCAGGTATCCCAGCTCTCCTTGGGTTTTCTGTTCTAGGTCTAGAGGTTCAGGACAGGGTCGGAGATTTCGGGTCTTTGCCGAGACCCGGGGTTTCACCCAACCTTGCCTGCTAGCTACAAGCGTACATCCGCTGAGATTCCCTTCGGTGCTTCAAATTGAATCACACGTGCATGACCTCAACACACAGGGACAGGAGCGACTTGCAAAGACTGCAGCCTACCTGAGTTTTTGAATAGAAATCTATTCAAATACTCCTCAGGACATAGCACCAGAGCCCAGCTACGTGCTCATTAACATCATGGTTCATGTGTGTAGTGGCACTATATATACATGGCATCAGTAGTGTACTCACTTGCGCATTTGTACTCATACTACTATGTACCTCCAGTCTGTAACCATCTCTCGGGGTCTTCCCATTGTATTGCATTAGTCATGTGGCTAAGGTCGCCTCCCAGTGTCAAGCTTCCTCTGCAGGCTGTCCCCCTGTCAGTTTCCTCTACACAAACACACATCCCTTTCCAGCTGGGGTAAAATGCTGAGGCTTGCTGGGAGCTTGCTCGCAGCCATTTCAAGTTGTCTGGGAGCTTTACTCAACACTCATCCTGGGGATTATTCTGGGGCTCTTCTGGGGCATTTTTAGGTGTTATTTCCCTGTATGGGTTATGTGTTACACTGCCCATCCACCATCCTTTGGTGTCATCTCTTTCATCTTCACGGGACTTCAGTTCGCAGATTCAGGGGGTGATCTCTCCCTTCTGCCACCACTCTCTGTGTGCTTGTTTGCACCTTCTTTGGAAGCCGCTGCAGTGAGCACCATTCTCCCCTAGCCTTTCCTTGCCCCTTCTTCTAAAGTCAATGCAGACTGTGCTCTCCTCCTTCTCTGCTGTTCCTTGCTTCTTCGGAAGTTGATGCTGATTGTGCTGTCCAACTTTTATTCTGGACTCCGCCCTCTTTTTGTTGCCTTCCTATTTCAACTTCTTGCGACCTACATTCATTTCACCACCATCCATCTTTGCCATCGTTGTTATTGACTGTCTTGTGTTTCCTCTTCAATGAAGAGATAGTCCATTGCTTGGGATATTGGTGGATCACCAACAGAGTTTGCTTGACACTTGTGTTCATCTTTTGGCTGGTTGGAATTTCTAGCTTTCTCATTCATTTTCCCCATCCAACATTCTTTTGCATTTTGGTTTTCTGGTTCAGGGATTTTTGTGTGAGCTCTTCACAGCTTGAGGGGGTGTGTGTGGAGATAAATCTCCATGGAGGTATGAGCAGCTATGTGCTCATCAACATCATGGTCCGTGCGTGTAGTGGCACTATATATACATTGCATCAGTAGTGTACTTGCTTGCGCATTTGTATCCATACTACTACCTCCAGTCTGTAACCATCCCTTGGGGTCTTCCTGTTGTATTGCACCAGTCATGTGGCTAACATCGCCTCCTGGTGTCAAGCTTCCTCTGCAGGCTGTCCCCCTGTCAGTTTCCTCTACAGGGAGCACCTTGGGAGCAGATCTACTGATACTGGTGTTAGAATGACGGTTGCTTCAACGTCACGCGGGAAGATTTAGCAGAAGACCCTGGCAAACGCGCAGGGGATTCAACAAGTAGCTACGACTTAAATACAACACGAGTGGTAGCTAGTTATAACTAATAAGGTCGAATTAAAGGTACGAGAGGTGTAATGATAACAACAAGGGCAAAGGGCAAGGAACGAGGGGAAAGGAACAGGAACGGTGGAGAGGATGGTTAAATAAAGAATGTACCCTTATGGGGATCCGCAGGGTTGTGCGAGCGCGGACTCGTAATTCAACAACTGGGACCTCAGACAGCCTGAGTTAACAAAGAATCATTGATATCTACTTCCACAAGTCACTTTGTGGAAATCTGAATAGACAGATTGTTTGAAATCTGGCTTTTACCCCAGGGCACATCTTTGGTTCAAGTTGAACAGACCATTTCCTGTTGAACAACAACAAATCTTTGAAGTGCTAGGTAACAGATCAAATGTTGATTGCCAGTGTTGTGCTGGAGGCATGGCTCAGCAGAGCACCTTGAAATTTCATGTGGAGGACCATATCCATCCTGTCCCCAACATGCACCACCAGTTCAGGACATCCTTGGAAGGATGACTATTTTGGTTATCTTTTGAGAGGTAAATGGCACATTAAAATTTCTAATTTTGGTAGGAAAAAATGATATTTTGAGTGGTAGCGAGAGCTGTAGTCTATGTATGAGCCTGAAATTTTGCAGGGTCATATTTCTATGGTAGAGATGTAGTCTGAACACATTCCAGCATCTTCATGACCACAGGACAGCTGTGATTGCAGCAAAATAGAGAAAAATCACCAAGTTCACAACTTTTTAATTTTGAAACAAATACATAGAGTACATAATTGCCAGGTTTTAAACACACATCTTGTGGAACACATCCTAAGGAATGTACAGCTGCTTACCAGGAAGCGCAACACCTTTTCAAGCTCAGTCTGCATGTTAGGCCAGTAATAAACATCACAGATGGAGCTGTACAACTTATCAAAGCTGAAATGACCCAGAGTGTCATGGGTGAGGTGAAAGAGTTGTTCACAGAGGTTTGACACGTGTGGGATGACAAGTTGATCAGCGATGTACCAGAGACGTTCTGGTTTGTGGAATTCCAAGCCAGGGATGCTTTTGCTGGCAGATTCCAACTTCGCGCACCATTTGTCAGTTGTGTAGCTAGTCTGGGTTGATGATTTGACCCAGCTCAGTGCAAACTTTCTCAGAACCATGACTAGAAGTTTGACCAAAGTACCTGTAACACCTCCAGTGGTTAGTGGTGGCAAGGTCCGGTTCAAAAATTGGTTTGAACCTGAACCGGACCGAACCAAATGTGAGGTTCAGGTTCAAGGTTCAGCAATTCCCCGAACCGAACACCAGGTTCAGGTTCAGCGTTCACCTACCAGGGTATTTTTCTGAAAGCGTTTGAATGCGTCCAAGCACCGAACACATAACATTTTTCTTTGGCCGAAATCATGCATGACAACATGCAGAACACGCTGATTTGCGGCGGTATCATTAGCAAATTGCCAATCATTATGATCATTCTGTTATGTGATTTTTGGTCCCCACTCCTACCCTTGCTCTCACCTCAATGTGTCGGGATACACCTACAATTTCTCCCATCCTTGGCTGCTACTGGCTTGCTCTAGGATTTTGCTTTATGTCTCAATTACTGGCATTCCATCTTTAGAAAATCACTACTCAAATATTCAACTATTTGTACTACCTCACCTGCTTGCCATGCTCAGCCGCTGTCTGACATGTTGGGAAGGAAACTAGCCATATGGGTCCTCCACTGCTTGCTAAGCCCGCCTCTAGCACCTGTCCATTTTTTTTCAATACCTGGGCACCATTTCCGTGGGATATTGGCTGAATTTGCGTTTTAAATGCTCTGTTAGGGAGCCGTACCTTGCACTGGCTGCCATGGTTTTCCCGATCCTAGCCATATGTGTCCTCTGCTGCTCACCAAGTCTGCCTACCAGCACCTATTGATTTTTTCAATGCCGTTTCTGTGGGATTTCTTTCCAAATTTTGTGTTTTAAATCCTCCATTAGGGAATTGTGCTTGTACTGGCCACCATGGTTTTCCCAATTTTAAGTATTAGGAGCGGCCACAGCAGGAACCCACTTGTGTCATTCCAGAATCTACCACAGTTTCATAGAAAATAAAGAGGTTAACAATTGGACCTGAAGCCCTAGCTCAGGGAGGCCTCTTGAGTTCATCCTAAAGAAAGTAGGAAACAAGCAAGACTTGAGCAAGACTGCTAGACATAGTTCTTCGAAAAAGGTAAATAAATAAATAATTGTTTCCAGTTTTTGGTTGTTATTAGGCTCACTGTTAGTGTTTTCATTCAAAATATGACCTATTGATGTTGGAAACCATGGCCCTTACAGACCAGAGCACCACAAGGCCTTCTTAGCTCAGTGGTAGAGCACAGCAAAATCGTCAACATAGCAGAGTGCAACCTGTCGCAACACAACTTGTGTATCACATATAGGACTTACTGGAGGGAAAACCTATTAAATTGTGACCTACTGATGTTGGAGACCATGGCCCTCAAAGACCAGAGCACCACAAGGCCTTCTTAGCTCAGTGGTAGAGCGCAGCACTTGTATATCTGTTGCGACATGCTGAGGTCATTCGTTCGATCCGGGTAGTAGGCACTCTTTTTGTTTCCCCACCCACCTCGATATCAGTGATGTCACCACAAGTTCGGCTATTTCCCCCACCCCCCCCCCCCCCCCCCCCCCCCCGCCTTTCCCGCACTGTGCCCAGAAAAGCGAGCACACCAGTCAATACGCCTAGTCCTTACCTGAGCATGCCGGGGCGCTTCGCGCCCCGGCACTTCAGACACGCTCCCGACAACAAGTAGATGTGTTGAAGTAGAGATCCTGGACCAATTATGAAAAGCCAATCCGGCGTGGGGGATTAAGATAACTTAGATTCCTAATTTTCTTACAGTGGAATTGTGCCCGGTGAAAAAGCCGAAGCTAACCAGCGGTTTACTGAGGACAGAAAATTAATATTTTGCACTCACTAGGCAATAGTTTCGGGACGTCAATAAAAAACCAACTTGTACAAGAGCGCCGAATGTTAGTGAAAATCATTTATATTCAATGCTTTCTCCAATACCTTATAGACATTAAGGCCAAGTTTTTTTGCAAACAGCAGTAAGAGCCTCCCATTCCACGCAGTTAAGGCATCGCAGTTCGAAATGTAAGCGTCAATACAATGTTATATGCTGCGTGAATAGTAATACGTGCGTAGAGTCCTCGAGTGCCAGTATGTAACAGTCTATCTATGTATCGTTAGTCCAGTACTCAGGTGCTCTCGAATCTGTGTAAATGTTCATGCGTTGTCCAGGAGTCTCTTGTCCATGCTATGTAATCGTGATATTACCTGTGAGCCGGGCATCCCTCGAGCTCGTCCCAATCGTCACCCCAATCGTCCCGTTCGGCCTGCGCCAGCCCTGCGCAACAGTATCCCAGTAACTCAGGTCGTACCGCGAGAGCGTGATGGCGACCTTCTTCTTCGCGTCCGGAAGAACCTCGACATTAGTAAAGCCCTTCAATATCGAGGGTGGCTCTCCGGAGGAGACGGGCATGTGCAGGTAGAGTTGGGGGATCTGCATACATATACATATATATCAGTGTTTCGCCACAAGCCGATAAGGAGGCACGTACGTCGCCTCCCCAGACCGGTCCGGTGTTTTCGACTTCGAAAGTGACATTGAAGAAGGGGCGGTGAAGCCACAGCGCTGTCGACGACCCGACTGCTATGGGCGTTGCATTGCCAGCCGCCCACGACTCCTCGAGGTCCGCATCTGTCGATGCCTGGTGCCCGACCTTCGCGATGTGCAGGTGGCTATACGTAAAGTTCGTGTAGCTCAGCCCAAAGCCAAACTCGAAGCGCGGTGTAATGTTGAAGCTATCGAAATGGCGGTAGTCTACGTTGAGCCTACAAACAGACCGCCCGCAGTCAATAATCGCCCTGGATGATTGACTGGGTCTAACGTACCCCTCTGTGTACGGGATGCTCAGGATGTCCGTGGGCTGCCCGCCAAGGACGAGCTGGGCAGGGTAGTCTGAGGCCTGCTTCGCGATGGTGTACGGAAGACGACCTGACAAATAAAGGAGAAAGTAGTAACTTTGGTTCTGAAAGCTTAGTTATCTTCGCTAACCGGAAGGGTTCCAGTCGCCGTATAAAACGTCCGTGATTGAGTTGCCCGCCTCCTGCCCTGGAACACCCGCCCACAGCACCTGCAAAAACGTATCAACACCATCGAACTTGGTGCGCTAGTGCCATGATGCTCACCGCGGTCACGTTCGGATGGTCGATCCACGGCTCGAGAATAAGAGGCCCGACTGAGTGGATCACAACGATGGTGTTGTTATTCTGCGCTGCAACCGCCAATACTAAGTCATCGCCGTTGTGCCATGCGGTCAAGTTTTTGCTGCATAAACGGACATCAGTGTCCGCCGAGCGGAGAAGTCGGTGCACTGCGCACCGGTCGCCTTCGTTGCCGTCCACGGTGATGTAGTCTTCGCCCGAGTCAGACGAGAGGAAGACAAGAGCGGCAGATCGGCCGATGGCCATGTTCCCCGCTCTGTCCGTGTCAAAGTCGTCCAGGATCCACGACACACTGGTACGATCCTCGCGCGCGCGCCTCTGAATGGCCTCCAACGGCTACAATCACACCAAACGAATTCAACAAATACCCAGCAAAACATTGCAGCAAGTTAACGTACGGAAACGAGATACGTGAAATTGGCCGTGCTAGAAGCAGCGAGTCAGTATGAACTGATATGCAATAGGGCCAGACTTACCCAGAGCCCCAGCCCATTGCCAGGATCCCGTCAACGCCGCCCTTCGAAAGATATAAGATCGCGAATCAATACATGAGAACATGGAACCACGCCGCCGCACCTGATCCGCAAACTCATTTGGCCCGATCTTGCCCGGGCCCGCATCGCTCCCAATGAGCACGATGCTTCGCGGTTTCTTCAGGGGAAGCGCAGCGCCCGTGTTCTTCAGCAGCACTGTGCTCGCAGCCCCGATCTCGCGCACGACCTTATAGTGGTCCTCCTAGATGTGACCGGTTTATACACATGCATGTCCGGGCACAATATGCGCACCTGAACATCGATGTGCTCGTTTGTCGCCTCGTTGGCAGGATTGAACGCGTCGAAGTTCGTCGCAGGGTAGTTGCCCGCGTCCTGGTGAACAAGGTACCACCCCGCGATGATACGCGTTGCTGGCAGATAATTAATTCAGCGTCAAGCAAGTCATTGCATGCAGCCCGACGTACCCATGTCGTCGAGCCGAGCGAGAGGGATCGTGTCGTTTTGCACATACGCGGTGAGGTTCGCGCCGAAATACTTTGGGGAGGTCAGATGTCCGCGAACGACTGAGCTCTGAAGGTGCGCACCGTAGTATTGGACAGGAAGACGATGTCTCCAGGCATGGTCATCTACGAAAATATATTGAGATGCGGCTAGGCCTCGGAGAGGTGCACTTACATCGAGCCCGGTGATCGCTGAGATCGTCGAGTGGGTAGCTATGGGCACAACTATAAGCGGCATACTTGCAAAAAAAATTCAAGACCTACCCGACCAATCAGACATAATGTCTGCGAAACGTCGTGAGCGGATTTTTATTTATTGTTCAGAGAACACTCACAGCCCTGGAAACCAAATTCGCGCTTGATAATGTCGTTCATGATCTTGTCGTTCTCACACGCATACGTTCCGTTGATCAGGTCTGCGCGCATCAGTCGGAAAACATATTCGGGACTCCAGAGAACGTACTGTAGCTGCACATAATGCTGCGGGACAGTTAGCTACGTGCGATGAAGATGATACCGCGCGTACGAGGTGACGCCTGCCATGATACTCCGCAAGAACGGGTGCGCGTATATCTCGTGTTGAGTCCGGTCGTCCACATCGGAGCTCTCCTGCGTACGGAAGTGCTCCTGCTCGCTGTGCGCACGCGTACATCAGATGAAACTCACGCCGGGCATTTCGAGCCGCTACGCACTTATTGATCAGATGCTTGGCGCACGCCTGAACGCCGCCCTCCTGCATGCCAAGAATGGTTTCATATGCCGCCTCGCCGGCAAGAAACGGGTCCGCGCCGAATCCCTCCCAGTTGCGGCCACCCTGTGCGTTCCGGCCGATATTCATCATCGGCCCAAGGGCGACGTTCACGCCCTTGCCGACATGCTCGCGGCCCATGAACAGCCCGCGCCGGCGGATGAGCTTGCGGTTAAACCTGGGATCGGTCAGCCGGGAAAACCACTAGCATTCGGGGTCCGGGGAGCGTACGTAGCGGCGGTGTTGATCCCAGTGGGGAACGCTGTGACAAAATCCGCGAACCGGATACCTATACGCTAAGTCGGTGACGAAATCCATCAAGTGAACGTGTGGCAGACCTAACGGGGAGTCCTACATACGGTGCGAATTAGCGCGACATGGACGGGAAAGGCTATACGGACCTCGAGGCATAGGCCAGGCCATTTAGTACCGTTTACGCCGATTGCAGGGATGTTGCCCTTGATATTCGCGGTCGATGAAACGGATAAACCAGCTGCATAGTAGGGACTCACGACACACCGCCCGGCCATCCAGCCGACACCCGTGCTAACATTCGCCTTTTCTTCGAGTGAAAATCCGGCAATCTTAAATAATTATGAGCATGTAAATGCACAGTAACAGTACAAGGCCACGCATCCAATCCACGCCAGAACCACGAGGATTCGAATTGAAATGCACACCTTATTTTTGGCTTCCTGGTACGCGCTCGCCCATGCATGGGCAAAATCGGGAATGAGCGACGAACCAACCGGTGGAGGTTCCCTGGGGTCGGTAAGAGGAAATATACCAGCCACGGAGGTCTCGGAGGGAAGAGGGAAAGCAGAGAACGGGTACTCCGATATTGGTACTGTAATGACAGTTTCTGTGGGTGGAGGAGGAACGTCAGTGGCTTGGGCGGTGGGTGATGCTCCGGCTGCCTCTTGGGATGCGGACTGCAGAGGAAGTATTAGAAGGAATATAAGGGCACCAAGGGGATGCATGGCGGTTGTGGAGAAAGGTGGAGAAGGGTGGCCTTCGTTCCCCGCGCGTGAAAGCCGAGCTCATCCGCGGCAAGCACTTTGATCCCCGGCGTATCGGTAAATCTTTGGCTCAATACGTCACAACCGACCGGTCCAAGCGAGATTATGCAGCCTCATCGGTCTCTCCGCCCAATATCGCGAGAAAACTTCTTCAATGATATGGGCAGCGCAAATACGGACTGATTTTCGCAAAAAAAATCACGATTTGTCCCATTGCTATATACCCCGAAACTGTTCCGAACTCCTTCTGCGACGAAATCCCAGCTCAAAAAGCCAACGGGCGAACAAGGCCTCAAAATCAGGAAATCCCGCCATTTCCCCCGACAATACGCTTGAGGCTTTGCTTTAAATTGCTCCGGCTAGCTCCGGGAGTCCGACTCTGCTTTGCAGGCGCTGACCTGTCCCACGCTGCCACTCATTTGACACAGCCTGATATTGGTTTGATACCTTACACTCGCAGACATTCACCCTTCATTCACCCGTCGCCATGGCTGGGCTCGTTAAGAGCCTCACACTGAACAAGACTCAACTCGTGGTCTGCCTGCTTGTGCT